CTGCACCACAAGGCATTCTAACAGTGAGTCCACCCAATCCTCTCCCATATTCTCCATCTCTGTATCTCCACTTCGCTGCCTCATTGACTAATTGATCAAAAGCCGGATATACGTAGTCAGCGAACTGGATTTCTGCAACAGCCTTCATACCTTCCGCAGCTGCTCCAATCGCGAATCCTATTATGCCTTGTTCGCACAATGGCGTATTGAAAACTCGTTCTGATCCATATTGCTCTGCAAGTCCCGTACTGCAACGAAATACTCCTCCAAATCCTACGTCTTCACCAAAAACCATAGTAGTTTCATCTTTGGATAATGCGAGTGATAATGCATCGTTAATTGATTGGAATAGGTTCATTCGTTTCGTGGCACCGTTTCGTATTTCCGGTGAAAGCTCTGGGTTCTGCAATGCACTAGATGAAGTATGGCTTAAGATAGCAGTTGATCCATAATCAATTGGCTTATTTAGTTTTGCTTGCGGAGGATGTGTGGAATATGATCTTGGGAATCTCGAATTGTGGACAACACATAAGGGTTTTAATGGTTTGACCAAGGAAGTCGATAATCTGGAAGTTATTCGCATGATGGATAGGAGTTATGATCACAAGTACGACGTTCTACGACGTTGGATGAAATGGATGTATTGTATTAAAAAAAATTCCATGATAGCGATGAAACGACATTGTTGATGTACAGTTACAAAACGCGGAGAAATCTGGGGTAGCCGTTTGTAGCCACATCTAAGCGTTTAATCGATAAACCGATAAACCGACAGATCTCGTAGCACGTGTTTAGTGACGGGATCTAAGCGCCAAGCTATTATAGACCAGCCCCCAAATTTATGCGGATGAGGATGTTGCTGTGGAAACAAGACAATAATCCTGGAAATTCGATGCGCATACGTATGTTGAGCATACAGCTTTTTCTGATGCATGATCAGCACGAGCACGATTCATTGTACATATAAACCATGTCAATTCTATAGTTTATCTATTTTGGCAAATCTGTTTTACCCATAATCTGCGAAAGCTGGAGGAGGAGAGAATGGCTGGGGACGCGACTGAACGACCACATAGAAAGAGTACGTTGCACGAAAAACGACGAGCAGAACGACGAACGAGGGCTATTGTCGCAGAATCAGAGGCGGCTTCTGAACCAACTGGATCGCAAACTTTATCAATTGATTCTCTGGCAAGATTGAAGGATTCCCTTGAACGAGAGAAGAGGAGGGAGGAGAGGAGGAAATCAAGATCGCGACCACCAGTGAAGGAAGACCATGGACGATCAAGGGAACGAGGTTCGCCCAGTAAAGATAGAAGACGAAAAGAGCGCGGTTATGCGACTGAGGATTCTAGTTCGCCGATTAAAAATAGAAGGAGAGAACGCGATTATGATGAGATTCCTGGATCACCAAGTAGAGAAAGAAGGAGACGAAACGAATATACCGATGATGAATCCGGTTCGCCAAGAAAAGACAGAAGGAGACAAGAAAGGGGATATACCGATGATGAATCTGGATACCCTGGCAAAGATAAGAAAGTTAGAGATTATTCCGATGAGACAGCGGCACAAACAGCTTTACGAATTCAAAAGCAGAGAAGAAAGCCAAACGGCATCCCCGAACCGAAACCAAAGCCGAAGCCGAAGCCAAATGCGCCGCGTAAAGAAGAACGGAGTTTGAAAATACCAAACACATATACAGACGACGAGACTGTCTATGAGAAACCTTGGAAAGAGCCAAAAGGAAAGAAACGGAGAGTTGTCAGCGGAGCACTTCTGGAAGAAGGTGAAGGGGAGTTGAAGCAACGAAGAATGTTTAGTGGCGCAGAACTGAAAAATGATCTGAGACATCTGAAAGGATTGAGAGGTGGATATGCGCCTACTGAATCAAGCTGTCCAGAGAAGTACGTCGAAAGTGACGAAGACTTCAGAAAAAGGCGGAAACGTATCTGTGAGTTCTCAGACTCAAGGTCGAAGGAGTCAATTTTGAGAGCTGATAATGTATTTAGGGATGGGAATTGGCATTGGCATAGTAATTTTGATAATTATAATAGCAATTGCAGTGAGCACCAGCAAAAAGCACACTTCAAGTTCTTCCTCGTCTACAGCCCCTGCAACAGAAAGTGGAACTCCTTCAAATTCAAATCTTGATGGGATGTCAGAAAGTGATATCCCGGTTGCAGCCCAAGGAACATATTTGGACCCATTTACATGGTACGATACATTGGATTTCAATGTCACATACACGAATGAGACTGTTGGAGATCTTCCGGTTATGGGTTTAAATATCTCATACAGCGATGATGTAGCACCAAATTCCAAGGCACCAAAGTTATCTGCAGAATGGGGAGCTTATACTTCAAGACCGGCTAGAGGTGTAAATTTAGGTGGCTGGCTTTCTATCGAACCTTTCATCACACCGTCTCTTTTCAATTCCTATTCATCAGCAGATGGAATCATTGATGAGTGGACATTGACTACTAAATTGGGTCCCACTGCTGCCGCATCTACCCTTGAGAAACACTATGCAACCTTCGTTTCCGAACAAACATTTGCCGACATTGCCGCTGCTGGACTGGACCACGTTCGCATTCCATTCTCGTACTGGGCTGTGATAACCTACGATGATGACCCCTATGTTTTCCGCACCTCATGGCGTTATCTTCTTCGTGGTATAGAATGGGCTCGAAAATATGGTCTCCGTATCAACCTGGATCTTCATGCGCTCCCAGGTTCTCAAAATGGTTGGAATCACTCTGGCCGTCAAGGAGCTATTGGTTGGTTGAATGGAACTGATGGCGACCTAAATGCTCAACGCAGTATCGAAATCCACGATAGGCTCTCTAAATTCTTCGCTCAAGACCGTTATAAGAACATTGTTAGTTTCTATGGCCTCGCTAATGAACCTAGAATGACATCTCTTGACGTCAATGATGTCCTAAACTGGACATCTACCGTCACTGATATGGTCGTGAAGAATGGTATTTCGGCGTATGTCGTTATTGGAGATGGATTTCGGGGACTCGAGAATTGGCAGGGCGATTTGACAGGTCATGATAATCTAATCTTAGATGTTCATCAATATGTCATTTTCAACAGCGGACAGATTCTGTATAACCACACAGAGAAAGTAAATTATGCTTGTAGTGGTTGGACTCAACAAACGGAGATATCTATGAACACGAGTACAGGATTTGGGCCCACGATGGTTGCTGAATGGTCTCAAGCCGATACGGATTGTGCGACCTATCTCACAAATGTCAATCAAGGAAATAGATGGGAAGGAACATATAATACTGGAGACTCATCGACACAACAAACGACGCCAGATTGTCCAACACAGGACAGCACATGTAGTTGTACCAATGCGAATGCAGATCCAAGTACTTATAGTGATACGTATAAGAGCTTTTTGAAAATGTTTGCCGAAGCGCAGATGTATAGTTTCGAATTAGGCTGGGGCTGGTTTTATTGGACTTGGACTACGGAGACTAGTGAGGGTGGTGGCACACAGTGGAGTAAGTTCCCGACTCCTCGCGTCTGCAGGTCTCCTCTTCCCCATACCTACGACTTCATTGACGGGGAATGGAATGAAAGGGGCGATCAAGAACCAAAGCACGAAGAATATCACTGGATGACTGCTAACAGATTGGTTGAATAGGCTACCAAAGAGGATTAGCAGCCGGCATCCTGCCAAAGCTAGCATACGATCCGGACTTTAAATGTTCATCAACAGTCCCGAGCTTCAGCGCATTGCCTGAATACTATTAAGCAATATCTGTCAGCTACTCGGCCAAGTTGGTGAGGGTTGTAAAAAGTAGATATATATAAAAAATGACTACACAACGCGAGCAATTGGTGTAATTCTACGACGGTATGAATGACGTACGCATATAGAGGGATTTGACCACATTTTTGAAACTTGGCGGCATGATTCCAGGAGTATGGAGAGAATTTGTTGCATTTGTTTATGAACATGGCAATATAAGCTGGAGCTGTGGAACTAATGGGCGGAAGCTGTGTTTTGGAGGCATGTTATAGAGCCTGCGAGAAAATCGCTTTGTCAAGGTTTTTACGGAAAAGTTGCTGTATGGCGTGATGGGGGTTTTTGTACATTGAGCTAATCATCAAATGATATGGTTGTGTAGGAGGATTTGTATGGTAGTATGGAATGAAAGGGATTGAATATTGTGAATTGGCATAATGATATAAATTGGAATGGTGAAATCAGTTAGGACAATTATATCAATTGGGATAACCATAGGGCTTTGAAGGAGAGGTGAAGGTCACAACATGTTTCCCTTTGGTATCTGTACTTCCACTTCTACTCCCAGGCCTTCATGACAATGTGTGCAATGTGCACCCCCAACTTGGTAGATTGTGTGGGTTTAGCTGGATTCTGTTCCAATTCTTCGCAGCTGGGCATGATTTGATCTTTCCCCCCAAGGTATATGTGTTCACAAGTTTTAAAGTTTGGAATTGTTCTAGTTAGTCAAGTACTAAGAGTATTAGCCTCAGAATATATCCATTTTCCCTGCGATCTAACCCCAACTATCACATATCTTTCACCCAGAGGAATTAGCGCTTCTAGAAAAGTAGGTTTTTGTAGATCACTTCCTGTTATTTATCTTGTAGAGCAAGAAATCTATCGCGAGGTCTCCATTCAAGATCAAGTGAAGCTACTCGTGACCCATTTGTTTGCTTCCTAAAGCACTACGGTGGTTTAGATGATTTTAAGCATCAAACTATGACAGGCATCATCATTCAAGTGAGTAGATCAAGGCATTATATTGGATCGATTACCAAACTTCTTGGCCTTAGTCATCTGCCTAACACACTCACCTCATAAATCAAGACAAGCCAAGATTCTTCGGGTTCAGTCATTCCTAGGACGAACTTCTTGGCCAAAAGCTAAACTCAACCTCCTTAGTATATATATGTTCGTTCCCCAGTAATCAGAAAGATTTTAACACACAATTTCCATTGGAAAACAACACACAATGGCGCTCCTCATTACCCCCAATTCTGCGACGGCAACAATCACTGTGACTAAGACCCTATATGACATCGTTTCATTAACTACGTTAAGCACCGTCATCAGCCAAAGTCTCACTGCAAATATTGCTAATGCTACACCAACCTTTCCAATCAACGGCACAACATCCACATTTTCACCTGTGAGTATAGATGATTCGATAATTTCATTATTTTGACTGACTAACCCTATTGCCCAAATTCCCTCTGCTTTTGTATCTCATGCTTATAATCCTTTTGCTTCCCCAAAGAGTATTGGCTCCTCATTCTGCTACTTGTCTCGCGAAATTTATGCTTAGTAGGCAATACTAATACCCTGATCTCGCAGTTTGTCTCTCTCACAAACAACTCATCGAACATAACCACATCAACAACCAAAAAAACACACCATGGGTCGAATTCTTGGTGGATGCCTTTCTTGGCTATACCGGTAGTATTATTTTTGGTCATTATCTGCATTACGATTCTCCTTGTGTTGGAAAGTCCACGGGCCAAGTCCAGAAGAGCTGAGTATGAGAAGGCATCCAAGGAAGGGGAACTAAGATACGCGAAGTTTAAAGAAGAAATGAAAAAAATAGATGAAGAAGAAGCTGCGTCCGAGAAAAAGGCCAAAGACCGCGATCAGAAAGGGGTCGATTTCTCCCGTATCATTCGTTTTCGAAGCAGAGCTGGGAACCGTTTTTCGAAAAAAGATGAGGTACACATTAGCGATGATTATGCTCGATTCGAAGCTACAGATGGACAGAAAAAACTTACGGATTTAGAGATACTCAAGATATTAATTCTCGAATATGAAGAGAAGTATGCTGAAGAAGTAGAATGGTTGGTAAAGCATCCACTGGAGTCTAAAAAACTTGTAATGGAATATGATGATGTTCGTGAGTCGCATTCTAAGGAAAAACGAATGCGAGTGGAGAGGAATGACCCTGTAGCGGATGAAAGGGACAGGGTAGAGATGTGTGAGAAGTTTGGATGGGACCCCACCGATCCCTACTACAAACTACCCTAGACCCAGGAGCTGGCGACTGTCAATGAAAGAAGAGTGCGGGAGTTCATTGATAGAAAATCGGTGCTGGAACGAGAACGTGGTTCCTCATAGTCCAAGATGCGATCCAACAATCAAAAAATTTCTGTACACGAAGAATGTTTACACTATAAGACAGATTCAACTTCCTAGATTAATGGAAAGCTTTGAATTGGGCCAATAACAAATAGTCTTTGAGTGGTGGACTGCAATTTGAAACACGACGCAAGAAAAATCGGTATCGCCATCCTATGGTATGCATGAGCAAGCAAGATGGATCTTTAGCTTGCTTCGGGTCTTCCAGGACATCAACTATTGCTCCATCTATGGTTTATCGGGCATAGGCGCTCAGGACTGCCAATAACAGAGTACGAGATAATAGTGACAATGATTAAGAGGGTTGTTAGGATTCGATTATATTATATGATTGACGGGGTATCAGATTTCGAAACAATATAGGATTATCATAGATATAAGATCTTACACATATTACAGTTGAGCCGAATCCATATTGAAGGTACTGTATTTGACTTCCATTGGTACCATCTGGTGGATTGGTGATCCTACCCCGTTTGTCCACTCTTCAGTTCCGTGTAAATACCCTTTCATCAAATACTATCAACACAAGAACAATCCAAATTGCCTCGAAAGTCATCACAGATAGAAAAGGGTCTCCGAAGTTGTAAGTGTCCTTATAGTTAAGAATGCCAGAATAAAACGCTAGAATAATGAGCTTGTTGTGCCAGGCTACCTTAAACATTAGTTCAGTCTTCTTCTCAAATGTTAGTACGTCGCCATGGAGCCTATACTAGTACATTGTCTTGTATCATAGTTATTCTTTCCAGGAGTACTGCTATGAGATATCAGTTCATTTTTGGCCCTTGATGGCAAAGTGAAAAACAAAATGTCGTGGTGAATTTAAAGATCGAAAGGATTATATGTTCTTGGAATAGAATAAGTTGATTGGTATTAGGAATGTTATATTACCAGCAAACTACTTGATGTGAGCTTCAATGTCAGTATATCTCTCAATTTCACTCGAAAACCTGCTCTTCAGAATCCGGAATCAACATGCCATCAAGCCGCCGGAAAGATATCTTTTCCATTGATGCAATTTCACCTCTATAACCAGTTCCACGAATATAAGACCTCAACCGGATCGTGAAGAGGGTCACTTTGTGGTAATAATCTATCATCGGTATCTCCATTTCCCTACCGCGGAATCATCAACAGAAATTCAGACATCGAAAATCTTCCACGGAAAGCGTTATGAATCACAGCGCTTTCAACAGTTGGAGGAATTTCAAAGTTCATCATTATTTCTTTCCACAGTGATAATTCATTTCTTCGTCGTATGAAAAGTCACGAACACATTATAGAAGGAGTAAGCAGCGCAAAATCCAGGTCGTTCGTGTGTGCACGCTTGCAGTTGTTGGTCCGGTGTTCCTCTCAAGTCCCATCCCCTCCCCAGGCCATAAGTATTGAGCCGATGTTGTACGAAGCCTGGTGATTTCTCCCTTAGTACCCAATGCTTTTAGCCTATCAAATTTGTTGAGAAACCTGGTCTTATTCTCATCCCCTCGTGATTGAATCCCAAGTCTTTTGTTAATCCCTGTTGTCGAGTCCCAGGTCTCTTTAGCTCCCTCGTTGTTGAGTCCTAAAATCTCTCCCTGGCGGTTGAATCCGTAATCTCCTATCCCTCGTCGTCGTATCACAAATCACTTATTCGTTCCTTCGTTGTCGAATTCCAATTTTCAATCCTTTTTTGATAATGACCTAAGTTCCTAAGTTGATCCCTCGTGTTTGAATCCCAAGTCTCTCTGCCAAGTCACACTCTTTCAATACCGATTATCGTATCCCTCGTGGCGTATCCCAAGTCCATTTCCCTCGTGGTTGAATCCCAAAGTCTCTTCCTCTTCTTTGTCGTATCCCTGGTCCCATTTGATCCTAGACTATTAAACGACACAAGTTATGAATTTATGAAAGAATACATACTCAATTCCGATTCCTATCACTGTTATTAATTCTTCCAATCCTGTGCTTCAATTGATCAAATCGATTTTGAACAATTCCTTGGCCGCTCCGGCTGTCCTGGATGTCGATCTCAAATTTTTTGTTTTGAAAGTGAAATAATATTCATTGCCCCTGTCCGATATCCCAAGGCGTTGTTTCGTCTAGGATTGTGGAATAGAATGTGGGCGGTTCAAAAAGTCGAGTTTTCGACCTATCCATCTCAAGCCAAAAATCAGTATACAAATTTCAACGTTATGGATGTCCGTCCAAGTAAAATCCAAGTAAGCACACAAAGCTGTTGATCCAGTATTCGATTTTTCGTTCTCTCCCTTCCACAAAGTCCATGTGATGTTTCCTCTAGATTCCAGCTCGAAGGCGCACGCATCCTATTTCAAGCCAATATTTTTATTTCGAGTCCGTAGTAATTCTACCATGTAGAGTCCGTTAGACTAAAAACAGAGCGTAAATATGAAGCCGAATCCAGCGTTGGCGCGTTGTTGGTTGATAATCATAATCGAAAAGTTGTTGATTGAATTGGGTTGTAAAGTTGAAGGTTAATTTTTGAAAGCTTCAATATTCGCGAAGGTAATTGTGTGCGCCAGCAATACCCGAATGTCACGTGTAGTATTAGGGTAATTATTCTACGGGGGTCAAGTCACCTTCAAGTTCCAAGGTTGTTACAAGAGAGGAAAATTCCTTTAAATGTTGATTTTGTATTTCAGGAAATCCAGGACTCTGAATCGACCAAAAGGGTCGCGTAGTTAAGGGCACTTGTTCACTCACTTTTGAAACGATAAAGATACGGTTGGGGAGCGTCACATTGGGAGATGACAAGATAGGCGCCTTGAGACAGCTTCCAATCCTTTTGAAACTATGCGCCTCTGGGACTGAGATCAACAGTTTCATTCTGTTGATTTATTCAAAGATATGTAAATTAGGAGCAAGCCTCGGGCTACTGTTCTTGTATCTTTGAGTAAAAACCAGTATGGTTTCGATTTACTAGATTTAAAGACATGTCGAAAACCCGAAGATGCAAAAGCCTCTCTCGCTCCAGTCAGAACACAACACAATCAAGAGTCCCAAAGTTTGCGTTCAACGAGAGCCAACCATTTCAAAAGGCGCTAAGAAAAAAGATGAAACGTCAGATATGCAACAAAACTTTTCAACTTGTGGTCTAGGCTTGGCCATGGGCACTAGACTGGCTTTCGAGGGCCCACCTACACATGGTTATGTGCTACCTCTGGGTAGAACGCGGGATTTAGTATGTAGGGCTGACAAGGAAGACTTTTCCAATCTTCAGACGTGCAACAAAAGCTTTATATCAGATTTACCATAGCTTTGCGCTCGATGATCTACTGGCTAAAATTTTACTTGATCTTTTTTAGATATGCAACAAAACTCTTTGAAATTGTGGCCTAAGCTTATTAACGCTCGATGATCCAGTGACCTCTGAAATTCACTATCAAGGAGATCTAATATTAGTAGCGGGTAGATATTTCGGGAAGCACAGTGGGTGCATGGATTGACGGGGCACTTTCCAACTTTCGAAAGTTTTAACAAATTTGTTCTTCAATGATTTGATTGTTTCATCCCTACTGAACAATTGTAGGAATTCTTAACATATAGAACTTGGTATATCAAGAGATATTCAAAAGTCCATTCTTGCAGTTTCCCGTCTGTACACCCACTGGTGGTGGCAGAAATTGGATTTATCGTAATATGCGAGCGATATCAATAAAAAATAATTCAACAGAAATACAAATTTAGAGTAATCAGGCAAGAAAATGCGCTCACGAGGCTGGTGGTTCTTTCCCCTTGAAATACAGATCATCAATCTTTGCGCGCGCGCGGTTATTGGTCACCTAATCTTGCTTACGTCAATTTCGATGTCTTTCAGATATGCAACAAAACAAATTGGTCAAAGCATGCCTGAATACAACCCCACGTGGAGAAACTTGAAAATATATCTAGAGTTTTGCGCTCGCCATGCTATTGGCTCCTTGAGATTGCTTACGTCAATTTCGATGTCCTTCAGATATGCAACAAATCGCCCAGAGTTGAACTTCCCACGTGGCCCTGATAGTGAATACAACAATATGAGGGGAAGCCGGCACATGTTGCATATCTGAACTACCACGATGTTAGAAATATTCCTCAAAATTATTCTTCCAATGAGTGAGCAGAGGCGCGCCAATGGTTAAAAAAGGCAAAGCTTATACACCACTTGTTTCTAAAACCATTTCCAATAGTATGTTGTATGAAAGTGAATCCACGTGTCGGGAGTTGCGGAACTCCACAACGGCACTTGAAATATGATCAGATCTCGAATATTCCGAAGAATGGACTTGTCCAATGGACTGGCGAGCGCAAAGCTCTGTTCACCTTCCTCTCTCTTGCGCTCAACGAGAGCCAACCATTTAGGAGACGCTAAAGAAAAAGTTGAAACGTCAGATATGCAACAAAAACGACCTGGATTCTGAATGTATCCAATAAATGAATGAGCGCAAAGCTTGGGTCACTATTTTCTTCTTCCTTTCCTACAGACTCAACGAGAGCCAACCATTTCAGAGACGCTAAGAAAAAAGATGAAACGTTAGATATGCAACAAAATTACTCAATATTTTCGAGAGGTCCAATAGCTTGACGAGCGCAAAGCTATGGTAACATTCCCTTCCTTCTTTTCCTTTAAACTCAACGAGAGCCAACCATTCTCAGAGACGCTAAAAAAACGATCAAACTTTCAGATATGCAACAAAACTGTTCAAGAGTTGTATGTGCCCAATAGCTTGACGAGCGCAAAGCTCAGGTCACTTTTTTTCCTTTGCGCTCAACGAGAGCCAACCATTTCAGATGGAGCTAACAAAAAGTTCAAACTTTCAGATATGCAACAAAAGATTTGAGCTGTATTTCCACGCCTGATCCACGCGCGGGCCACGCTGGTAGGGCTGACAGCAATAGTGAATAACCTTGAGGATGTAATGTTGCATATCTGAATTTCTGACCCTTGCTCAATGTCAGAATGGCTGGTTTCGTTGGGGCGCAAGCTGATCCTGGCTTTTGCAACTGGCTTTCAAGTGGCCAGGCACAAAGTATTCGTCTCAAATGTTGAAGGCGAGATAAAAGCGCAGAAGTGAACACAGGACAACATGGTGTAAACATACAAATCGACAACTTGAAAGATTGTCGCAAAGCTTGTGATAATTTCGCTCTGGGGAATGGCCACGAATCAAAAATATTATTAGACAAGAAGTTTGAGTCTTTCAATTGCGACAATCCTTCGAAGATAGGTTTCAACGAATCTTTATGATTTTAGTTCAAAAAGAGATTACGTGATTCAACTGGCATTGGTTTTGCACTTGCAACGACCTACATCCCTTATCGGAGACAAACTTGCGCTGTGAGACGGCCTCGCTACTACACATTGCATGTACAAATAGAAGAGAGATGTATCTAGCTACAACCTACAGTAAGAGTCATTAGTAACGTGTCCATTTCGTCCAGTACACTCCGTGAAAATTCTAAATCTGATCGTGCAATGGGCTGAAGACCTTCCCCGAGAACAAAAATCATGGGCGGGGTTTGCTTGAAACCAATCCACGAGACATTTTTTCCGGAAAAGTATCATCATATCAATAGGCTCAATACTTAGTCAACAGAACTTCCAGAATTACCTTTCTGGGCACCATTTCATGTACAATGCAGATTTCTTTGGAACGCATGTCGTTGATTTTGACGTTGGGAACCACCAAACTAGCGAGTGTGATTACATAAATGCTGACTCACAATAACTTATTTCACCGCCACGTTGATGATCGAGCAATCGAGAAGTGTAGGTATTTTCAAGAATCTTTTTTTAATTATCAGCATCAATCTATTAAACTACATCCGAGGTTTGATAGGTGAAGCTGCCTAAATAGCAATGTTGTTAAACTCATTGTTTGCGATCGTTGTGACAATCATCACAATTTTTCCTGTTGCCGCGAGTGGGGTGTATGGACTGATGGGTCACTTTTCAAATTGAAACTATGTACCGGTAACATATTCATTGTTAAATTATTTAATATGTAAATCCATTCTTTCATTGCTTAAAATATGAAGAGACTTCACATTACTTCTCAAGTATTTAAGTCAATATCTCAAGAGATATATCTGAATTGTTAGCCTCCCACACACAATCTCATTGTTCATGTTTCTCTGGATCGATCCTGCCATCCGATATCATCATCCAACGCGCCCTTTGAGGTATTGAAAGTTTGAAGAACTCCGCCTGCAAAATGTCTTCCATCGAGTCAAGACCAAGGGTTACAGCCAATTTCAACATCCTTCCTCCGCAACTTGCCAAATCGATTCCCGAAGCCAAAAGTATCCCCACCATAACCGTATCCTCCCTTGATATCGCCCATTTTAGCGCACTTTTGGCCGTTATAACATCGTCTATACCGGCCCCGCGATCGAAGAGCTTGTGAACGAGTAGCATATTTCTTGTCTGGGCTTCAATGGATATAGATTTATTTCCTAGCCATTCCGATTGCTGTCCGTCTAAGCGAGAGAAGTTTCTATCGAAGCCGTATTCAAGTAGAAGATGAATCATGTCTCGATGCTTTGCTCCGTCGGCACCCCGAACCCCACGGAAAAACGTTCCTGTTGTATCGAGGATGTACTTCACTATCTCGAAATTTCCTAAACGAATATGCAACACTAGGAGACTCTTGCTCGGTTGCTCTACAGGTCTTGGAAAGAATCCTTCAATGTATTTGTATATTTCAAGATTCCCTGTGGACCTTTGCGCTTTCCAAAGAGAAAACGAAGCGGATGATTCTAGGGGGATAAACGACCCGTCTATGAAGTTCGTATCATTGATAGTTGACCACGATGGCGGATACAAAGCAGTGCGTACCATCTCTATGTCTCCGCTCATTGCCGCCGTTACAATCGAGCTGAAGCGCTCAGCTTCTGAATCGTGACTTGATTGGCTTTCAATCACCATCTTTTGCAAATATTCTAGTAGATCTTTATTTCCTGCCCATGCAGCCAATGCCATAGGTGTAACGAAGAGATCGCGCATAGTCCGTGGTGGGTATCCTTCTTTGAGTAAGCGTTTTACTACAGGGATGATATTGAGATAAGTTGCGGCACATAAAAGATCCAACTTGAAGTTTAAATCAATCAAATTGGAACTGGCACGATTTGTTGCGTGTCTTAATATCGGCCAGCAAAGTCTTTCGATTGTGGTTCTCACGTCGTTGCCCGTTTCCGCACAGAGAGTTTCGACAAGTCTGCGGATGTGGCAAAAATGGGGTGGGCAGGAATCGGAGTTATATTGGACTCTGTATACAAGGTAGGAGTGCCAAAATGTGCTCGCCCATTTATTTCCATCTATTTCCCAGAGGCATAAGAGTCTGTTGGTCTTGTAATCGTCTAGAAGGTGAGATCTAAATAGCGCAAATTGGACGTCATAATAAAACCGCTCTGCACGACAGTGTCAGGGATAGAATTTTTGAATCCGAGTACAAGATCAAACTTACTGCATACAAGTCTTAATGTGATAGATCTATGGATCCCGCGAGTAAGGACGGCTTCGAGTAAAATCTGATGGACCAACTCGGGTGCGAGGTCGAGGAACTGCATCCTCTGTGAAATAGGATTGCAAATTGTCGTTGCAGACCGACGTAAGTTGAAGAAGCTGTATCAATGTAGAAGAATGGAGGTTGATAATGGGAGAAAGTTGAAGCTGACTCCAGGTGGCTGAGTTCAAGAAATCAGGTGGAAAGCGTAATAGTCCGCTAGGTAGCTTGCTCAATTTCTTCATCTAACAAGAATTCAATAGAGCGGAGTACCCAAAACAGCCCAGGTACTGTGAGTGAATATCTAAATCAAACATAATCTTTGACTTTTCGGGTGTTGTAAATGCTTCAGTGAGTATATTGGTACATCTTTCAAAATTTAGGGCCGAGCTAGCTCGCCAGTGTTTTAGAGCGTCTATTATTTTCTATTATTTTTACTATTTTTATTTTTATTATTATTTTAATAGTTTAATAGTTTAATAGTTTAATAGTTTAATAGTTTAATAGTTTAATAGTTTAATAGTTTAATAGTTTAATAGTTTAATAGTTTAATAGTTTAATAGTTTAATAGTTTAATAGTTTAATAGTTTAATAGTTTAATAGTTTAATAGTTTAATAGTTTAATAGTTTAATAGTTTAATACTTTAATACTTTAATAGTTTAATACTTTAATGATTTAATAATTTAATGATTTAATGATTTAATGATTTAATAATTTAATGATTTAATGATTTAATGATTTAATGATTTAATGATTTAATGATTTAATGATTTAATGATTTAATGATTTAATGATTTAATGATTTAATGATTTAATGATTTAATAATTTCATAATTTAAGTCGGTTACCCTACTTTCGGGCTACCCCTGTTTTGGGCCATCTTTTCACACCAAAAATCACTTTTTAGGCCGATTAATATCTCCATCAATATTTAATATAATTCAATGAAAATTTGTATAAATATAATTTAGATCGATTTAAGCTTATTCTGAAATTTTTAGATTTTTTAAAAAAAATTTATATTAAGAATTAAAGTTTCAAAATATTGATTTTTAAATTTATATAGAAATCATATATAAATTTAAGTTTTTTATTAAATCTTTAATAACTTTTTAATAATAATAATTAAAAGAAAATTATATATATTTTTTAGAGATATTTAAACTTGAATCCATATAGAAATTCAAAAAAAAATTCAAAAAAATTAATAGATATAGAGATATAATATATAATAAGTTTAGAATAATATAAATAATTTTTGTTATTTTGAGGATACCCCTTTAAATATTTTTTTATAAGAAATTTTCTATTTTTCCTGAATCTATTGAGTTGAATATATTATAAATTTATAATAAAATTTTACAATTTATTTTTAGCAATTTTAATTAGAAAATTATTGAAGATTTTATAGAATTTCTAAATTTGTATAGGATTCCTATACAAATAAAAAAATCGATATTTTGAAGTTCTAAATCTCAATACAGAAAAATCCTAAAAATCTGAAAATTTTAAAATAAGTTTAGATAAATCTAAATTATATATATTTCAATTTTCAAAAAATTCTATCTATAAATGAGAAAGTTAAAAATTGCATTTTTGGTGTTAAAAGTAGCCGAAAAGGGGGGTGGTCAGAAAGTGGGGTACTCGACTTATCTGTGGAATACTTCGGAGCGGAATAACGATAATCGGATCGAACACTGATCTGGTTATTACTCCTGTAATCGGTATTTAGTGATTATTTAGTATATAATCCTATTTCTTTTCTATAAGGAGAGATTAATTTTAATTAGAAGTATAGTTTAATATATACATATTTTCTATCTTATACTGTTATTATCCAATTATTCTACTCCACCATGATATGCTATTGTCTTGTATGATAAAAAGATATTCGAAGTATTAAAGAAAATCTTTATATTGATATTTATTTTCTAGTATTTTAATTTTTTATTTCTTATAATAATCGAAATTAATACTTCAATCTTTACATTAAATTATATATTATTATAGTTTTTTTTTTGGAAGGAATTAAAAATACACTGGTTTAATAGTGATATTTTATTATATTCTATTCAAAAAAGCTAAATCTAACAAAATAACAATATTTTATTTATAATCAAAAAATAATTAGTAATGTATATCATTTTGTATAGTAGTATTATTATACGATAGGGAGTTGATATACTATTATAATTAAATTGAGTTATAATAGTTTTCAGTATTTCATAATAAAGAAAAGTCTAAATGATTAATAAACAAAATAAATGGAGGTTTTAGTTATACATAGTTTTGAGATAATATATAGAATAGGAAAATTAAATCCTATAAATAAATTATTACACCACCCTAATTATACTATTAATACAAAGAGTATAAATAATATACTTCCAACTCTACAGAATAAATTAAGGAATAAATTAATAATTATGAAATTATTTCAAAATTCCTTTATTAAAAAAACGAAGCTTTTATATAATATTGTAGACCTTTTATAAAGGGAAAAGTGTAATTTATTATTCTATAAATAATTGAATATATTAATTAAAATTAATAAAAAATAATCAATATTATATCAAATAACTTACATTTTAATAAAAAGTAAAATCATATTTAAATTAATATTAAAAATAATAAAAAATACTTTATTATAATTTTAAATAAATAATGATTTTATAAAAAATATTTAAATCAAAAACTATATTTTACTAAAATCGTCTCATTTTAGTAAATAAATACCAATAAACTTCTTAAACATAATAAGAACACTTATATATTACTAAACTTTACTTTGAAGATAGAAATCTTAAAATCTAAATATTTTTAGTTTTTAACAAGAAAAGATATAAAAATGTATATCAAAATTCATATAATATACTAACAAACCATTATCAAAAAATATAAATCTTATAGTGAGCTATAGTTCTTTTTAATTTTTTATAAATCTTAAAATTTTTTTTTTTTTGGATTTCATTATAGATCTATTCCTATCAAAATTAAGTAAGTATATATATAATATAATTTTAATAATTACTAATAAATTTATAAAATTTATTTAATACATATTTATTAATAAGATAATCATTTTATTAAAATTTATTTAAATATTGATATAAAATACATTTAAGAATTTCAGAATATTAAAAGATATTACTTTAGATAAGGAATTACAGTTTACAAATAAATTCTAAAATAGCTGTTTTTTTTTTACAAATACAATACAAATTGTTTATTATATTCTATTTTCAAATTGATAGATAAATAAAATAATAAAATCAGAATCTAATTTACTATATTAGTTATTACTTAAATTACTGTGGGCGAAACTTGGTACTGGTCACGTGACCTCTTTCTGTAGCTAGTATTTATAGGTTTTTTTTGTGTAGTTTAGAGAAAAGTAGTCAGTTTTCATTTACCTTTTTATATGTTTTGTGATACGCTATATAGTACCTATTCCTCCTCTCTTTTGTCGGAGGTGCTACGTCTTAGTGACTTGTTTGTGGTATTTACGAAGGATTACTTTATGACCTTATCACCTTCTACTCTTTTATATTACTAATAGAATAATTGGGCTTCATTATTATTATTTATAAAGTTTATTTATAATACTATATAGTATAATATAATAAATATAAATTTATTCTAAATAATATATAGATTCCTATTAATATTTTATTATATTAGCGAAAATGCTAATGCTATAGGGAGAGTATTAGCTATATATAAGTGAATTATTTTCCTTAATAAAAGAAGGGAAAAATTAAAAAAACTATAACAAGTAGTTATAAATCGAAAATTGAAGAATATAAAAAGCATAATATCCTAATAATACAATATCAGAAATAAAGTAATATTAAATATTTAAAATATCAAGCAATTTCAATTCAAAAAGAAGTTTTCGAATAAATTTACAAATCTCTTTTAAATAATAAATATAAAAACTAGTAATTAAATATATAAACTCAAGCTAGTATCTATCTATAAAATTTATAATATTTTTATATTTTCTTATTAAAACTATAATACAAATAATAGGGTATTACTAACCTACTATTATCAAAGAAAATAAATAATCACTTAAAATACAAAATAAAGAAAATTATAATGTAAAAAAAAAGATGGAAATATTTAATATCTAATTTAATAGAAAAACTACTAGTTAATAAAAGATATATAAAAGGCCTTCCATAATCTTAATAATACAAAAAAAGTATTAAAAAAATACAAAAAAAATTATTTTTTGTTAATATAGAATTTGAAAAAAAAAGGAAAAAAGTTATAAAACAATAAGGTTTCATTATATATCTACAAACAAATCACTAATAATATAAAATTATTTACAATATTCCTTCTTTTACTGTTTTTTATTCTAACAAAAACAAGAATTATAACTTTTCATTTATTAGTATATCATATACTACTACCAAGAATACCAACTCATCCTAATATCTCTTAAATACTTCAGACTTCAACTTATAAATATCGAAATTAATGTTAATTAAATCCTTATTAATATTTAACATATAGAATTATTACTATTCCTTCTATAAAATCTTATCCTTAATAAAAATACACTTTTAATTAACATAAAAATATTATTATAAAAACGTTATTATATTAACGTATTGAGAAAATCCTATAATAAGAATTAATCTTTTTACTCTATACATCAAAAGAATCTAATATAATAAGAAAAACCTTAAAAATAATATTATTTATATCATTATTACTTTGCTTACCCTTATTCATCAAAAATGTATTTACTTTATCTACAGTACTAGACAAAAAATAAGGGCCGTAGCTCAAAAACACACCAAAAATAGCTATTATTCAACCTTTTTATTTTTGTATATTTAGAAAGTCTTTAGATTTATTATAATGAAATTTCACTTGAATATAGAAAATTATATAAATTTTAATAAAAAAAAGGTGAATTTTTTTTCTAAATTATTTCGTTTTGATATAATTAATTAAAATTGATTGAATTGAAATTTTCGATTTTGTAACATTTTTACTAGTAAATTTATCGTACTTTTTGATTTTTTGATTTTTTCGATTTCGAATCG